ATATTTATGTTTGTGGTTGTAATGTGACAAAATATGGAAAAGTTCAAGGGGTATGAATACTTTTGCAAACCACTGTACAATGGGAATTTTGTTTACATGGACTATTTTAATGTGAAACCAAAGTTCAGTCAGTGAGATCATCTCACTTAAAAAAAACATCTGACGTAGAACAGCAGTTTATAAACTAGGGCTGATAGTATTCCGGCACCGTGCCGGATTTCCGGCTTACCTCCACGGGGAGAAAAATTTAAAAATCAGACTTGGGCCAACTGTTTAACAGACGTTTCTCTGGACCTATCAGAGGACCAGCTTTCAATTTAAACACATTAGACCGGCCTACTAGCCAATCAGAAATCAGATGGGGGCAGGACTTGGATATCAGCAGAACTTTGATTCAGATCTAGGAGAAGTTGTAGCGGTGCTCGAATTAAAATAAATTTCTTTGTTAGAACAAGTTTGAAAAAGAACTACAAACAACAGTGAAACTGGCAGATTTTTAAAAACCAGCTGTCAGAAAAGAAAAACCAGCGGAAAGATGTTGAGAGAGATGAGCCTCGCAGATGGATGCTAATGTTAGCTGAACAGTAGCAGACAGGTGGAGCTGGAGAAGAGAGGCAGGGATTTAATCACAGTGACTTGGGAAACAACATCCGACCAACAGGTGCATGTTTACTGAGAGAAACTGAGTCAGGTTGTTATGTTGTGATAGAGTGGATAGGAGTGTCCACCAGGGGGCAACACAGTTACAGCAGGTGATGTTAGATGCAGGTTAAGATGCGCACTTCCTGTATAAATAGAAAGAAGTGAAAGTTGTGTCGGTGATTACGGGACATCCAATATATTACATAGGGCGACAAGGATAAAAGTCAGATATTGAAAAGAAGTGGAGCCATGCGATGAGGCAAGTAAAGAAAGTACTACATAGCCGATATCTGCAAGAGAAGAAGCGTGAATGTCGGTGAGAGATAATGGCGGCCTCTGTGGGTTCAGTAGCGCCGTTCAACTGCGAGCTACAATCTTGGAAAGAATACTGTGAGATTTTGGGACATCTTTTTTGTTGCAAACAAYATTAAGGAAGAAAAGAAGAAACAAGCAGTATTGCTGAGTTGTGTGGGAGCACAGACCTACCCTTTGATGAGGAATCTCCTCAGTCCAGTAAAGCCGGGGGAACGATCTTTTGCCGAACTGGTAGGACAGTTAAACAATCATTTTCACCCTAAACCGAGTGAAATAGTACAGAGGTGGAAGTTTAACACAAGGAACAGAAAGCCTGAAGAAAGTGTGAGTGATTATGTGGCGGAGCTGAGGAAGCTTGCGCAGGATTATAATTTTGGAGATTCCCTGACAGTGATGCTGAGAGATTGTTTAGTGTGCGGAATAAATGAAGACAGGATACAGCGCAGACTACTAGCAGAGGATGGGCTAACTTTTGAGAAGGCACTAAAGTTTGCTCAGACCATGGAGGCAGCTAACAGAGACATTGTGTATTTGAGAAACATGGAGCAGTCACAAATCTCTAAAGGAATGGGAGTGGTGAACAAAATGAAGGACAGCAGTTCAAAGTCTCATCAGGATTTCAGAAAATGTTACAGGTGTGGAGGGACAAATCATGTGGCAAAAGACTGTTGGTTTGCCACAGAAAAGTGCGACAACTGCGGCAAAGTGGGACACATTAAAAGGGCTTGCAGGATGAAAGCAGAACACAAAGGAAGAAGAGGAAAACAAGGAAGACAAGTACATTTTTTAGAAGAGGATGATATGTAGAGTGAGGAGGAAGCAGCTGAAATGCATCACATCAGGACCAGTAACGTGACAATGTACAATATGCATGAAGAAATAAATATCCCAAGAGAAGAACACATCAGAAAAGAACTAAAAGTGAATGGACAAAGTGTAACATTTGAAGTAGACACAGGCTGTGGTTACACTATTATGTCAAAGGAAACATTTAAAAACTTTTTGAAGGGCATAAAGAACCTAAAGTGAGCAAGTGTAGGATCAAAGTGAAAACATACGGAGGCCATAGGGTGCCAGTGTGGGGAGCAGCCCGGGTTAAAGTGGAACACACAGATGGGCTGAAGAATCTTGCTGTAGTGGGCGTAAAAGTGTCTGGAACAAGTTTGATGGGTAGGGGATGGATTAAAGCCCTCCAACTGTACTGGCAGCCAGTGCATGACATAAAAGACAGAGAAGAGGCCTTACAGGAGCTACTAACATGACATGAAAACAGTGTTTAAGGAGGAGCTAGGGACACTAAAGGGGTTCACACAAAGATACAAGTAGCTAAGAAGGCCAAGCCTTGTTTCTTTAAACCAAGATCAGTGCCTTTTGCCATGAAAAGGAAGATAGAGCAGGAACTGGAGAGACTGTTGGAGGAGAAAATCATACAACCATTGAAATTCTCTGAATGGGCAGCACCCATTGTACCAATACTCAAACCAGATGGCAGCATCAGGATTTGTGGTGACTACAAATTGACTGTGAACAAGGTGTCACCTGTTGAACATTACCCCATTCCAAAAATGGAGGACATGATGACGGGGCTGGCAGGAAGGGAAAAATACACCAAGTTAGATATGAGTCACACATATCAACAGATTGTGTTAGATGAAGAATCCAGAAAATATGTCACAGTGAATACCCAGAAAGGATTATTTACTTACACCAGGTTACCATTTGGTGTGAGTTCAAGTCCAGACATTTTTCAGCGCACTATAGAGAGTGTGTTGCAAGGTCTGGCTAACCTGGCGGTGTACCTGGATGACATCATCCTGACAGGCAAAAGTGACCAGGAGCACCTTCAGACACTGGATCAGGTACTGCAGCAATTGGAGAAAGCGGGACTGCGTTTAAAAAGGAACAAGTGTCAGTTTATGGAGAAGGAGGTGACTCTTTTAGGACATCGGGTGAGCAATGCAGGTTTGCAACCAGCGTCTGCAAAAGTGAAAGCAGTGCAAGAGGCACCAGAACCAAAATCAGTGACTGAACTTAAAGCTTATTTGGGGTTGTTAAACTTTTATAATAAGTTTTTGCCAAACCTGTCCACACTGTTGGCCCCACTGCACAAACTCTTAAAAAAGGGGGAGCCTTGGTGCTGGGGCCCAGAACAAGGGGCAGCTATCCAGAAAGCCAATGAACTCTTGCAGTGAAGCCAAGTGCTGGTGCACTATGATGAAAAGAAAGAATTAATTCTTTCTTGTGATGCCTTGCCCTATGGAGTGGGAGCAGTGTTAGCTCACCACATGCCATATGGTAAGGAGAAACCTATTGGGTTTGCATCACGTACACTAAATGTTGCAGAAAAGAACTATTGACAGCTAGACAAAAAAGGATTAGAGAGATATAGTACCCCAGCATTCGTCAAATGACGTCACACGAAAAGTGACAGGTGCCCCGCCCCTTTAGGGCGGGACTTCCGTATATGGTCAACTTCCGGCCCCTCCTTCCTCGGGGGACTTCCATATATGGTTCTTCCGGCCCCTCCTTCCTCGGGGGACTTCCATTTAAGGTCAACTTCTGTTTCATGACTTCCTCTTTTGATTTACCGTAACCGTCCCCCTCCCTCTTTCCCCCTTGACTTACAGTAACGCTACCCCTCCCTCTTTCCCCCTTGGTTTACCGTAATTGTCCCCTCCCTCTTTCCCCCTCGATTTACTGTAAGCCTTGACCGTAAACATCCTGTTTTTGAACATATGTCCACAGCCCGCCTGTCTGTTCAACCTCCCCTCTTGACCACGAACATCCTGTTTTTGAACAGATAAGACAAGAACTCATCAAACTATTTTGGGTACATTTATTGTGAGACTGATTACAATAAAGACAAGTTTTCGTCTCTTTCCTGGGTCAATCCTTGACCAAATTAAGAGTGTGGTGCCTTGAGATAAGATAATTTGTGTATTTAAATAATTCACAAATTATCCATTTTAGAATATACCCAAAACCCCTACAGCTACATAGGCAGCAGGAAAGAAAAGTAAAGAATCTGAGAAAAAATCATAAATTCTAAATGTAAATAAGTTATAATCATAATAAAATAATAATAGTTTTACATATAAAAACATTTTATTCTTTTCATGTTTTTCCTCCATTCAGCAGCCTAATAGTTTTGTTTTGTTATATTTTATTTAAAAAGGATTAATGAGCAAAATTGTTTATATTTGGAACCAGACTTCATGAAAAGTTTAATGTATTTAATAATTAAATATGAAATATAAATGATAGTTTTCATGTAGATTCTGTTTTTGTTGACCTGTTTGTCTGTATAAATATCAATCATGAAGTTTTAAATGATTAAGTATTTTAATTGCCCTTTTTAAACATAAAATCCTTCATAATGTGCATGTAAATGCTTGGTGATAAAGGCCCTGTCACACTAGACAATTTATGAAACATTTTTATGTCTAAATTGCTAATAAAAGTTATATATTTGATCAATTTGTTAGAATTACATTATGTACACAGAAAAGAAGCTTCCTGTTGATTTTTTCAATTCCAGCTTCAACATAGACGTCTTTAAAACGTATATAAGTTGGCATAAGTTATCTAGTGTGACAGGGCCTTAAAGGTTCACACTGGAACTGTGGTTTTCCAGTTGCGTTTTAAATTCAGAATAATATTTAAATTAATATAGCACAGGTAATCCTCTGCTCAGAACAAAATTACTTTAAACTGCATTTTTCTTGATGTGCTGGATAGAATGACGTCTGCCTTTTAAATAGTTTTCTGTAGTAATGTGTTGTATTTTCAACACATAAGCAAACAAGTGTGTGTGTGTGTGTGTGGGGGGGGGGGTAAAAAGGTTCAGGCTCAAGATTTTTTTCCGCTATCACCCCTGTTTATAAGCAAGTAAAAACACCTAGTACACCCTATTTCTAGAGACTTAAAGAATGGAGCTAAGGAGTTTTGGTATTGGTCCTGCATTCGTGACTTTGTTAGGACTAATTGAAGTTGTACTGTATGGTTCTTTGGATGGTCTGACACAAGGGGTTGAGCCTATAGATGGAATCAGTAGTGCTGAGGCTTTTTTAATGAAATGTGTTCTGCAGGGTACACCTCGTTTGCCTGCATTCTCAGTGGATGCTGACTTCGTTATTGGAGGTGTTTTCTTCATTAACTTCAAAGTGCAAACAGTACTTAATAACTACACCACCAAGCCAGAACCTGCAAAGTGCACAGGGAGGTAAGAAAGGCAGAAATGGTGAAAAAAGGGACGTTTGCTGTTTATGACTGGAAACTATGTGAATTGCTTAATTTGTTGTGATGGGAGAAGAAAAAAACTGTTTTATATTTATACCTGTTTTTTTATCAACTAGCAGACATGATTTAAATGTTGGGTTTATTACCACAGAATTATGTGTACCGGTAATTCAAATAAAACACATTTATTTTTATTTATGTTTAACAAAAGGTTAACCTTTATTTTTCAGTTCTGCTGACACTTAACTTGCTCTGAATTGCATCAATAATTGTGACTTTTTTATTTATTTATTTATTTATTTATTTATTTATTTATTTATGTTTTATTGCAGACTTTATTTGTTTACGTAGATTAGTTATTTTTCAGTTTTGTGCAATCATCAGCCCTCTCCTGATTAATTCTGTGCAGCATTAATGCTCGGGAACTTCGCTTCTCTCGAACAATGATTTTTGCCATTGAGGAGATAAACAACAGCACAAAGCTGCTTCCAGGCATCAAACTTGGTTATCAGATATATGATTCTTGTGCCTCTGGGCTTGTGGCAGCCCACATAGCTTTTCAGTTAGCAAGTGGTCAGGAACCTATGTTCTACAAAGACAGCAATTGTTCCCAAACTGGCATTATAATGGGTATTGTCGGAGACTCTGGGTCCACAACATCCATCAGCATGGCACATATTATTGGACGCTTCAACATCCCTCAAGTAAGTGGTTTGCATTTTGTGCAACTGTAAAAATATAATTGTTAAATGCAAGCTTTCTGTTGATGTTAAAAAATGTTAGCCATATAAAGCTTTTCTTTTTTCCATTCTAGGTGAGCCACTTTGCCACCTGTACCTGCCTGTCAGATAAGCAGCAGTTTCCAACATTTTTCAGAACAATTCCCAGTGATCAGTTCCAAGCTGATGCTCTAGCCAAGTTGGTGAAACACTTTGGTTGGACTTGGATTGGTGCTGTTCGCTCTGACTCAGATTATGGAAATTATGGCATGGCATCTTTTCTTGCTGCAGCACAGAGAGAGGGGATCTGTGTGGAGTACTCTGAATCCTTTTATCGAACTGACTCACGTAGCAAAATCCAGAGAGTAGCTGATGTTATCCGCAGGTTTGTACATCACTGCTTTTTTTTAAATAAACAGACGTGAAGTTTGCTTTTAAACTGTTTGAAAATAATATGAATATAGAAGTATTATTTAAAAATGTGTTTAATTTTCACTTAAATGTTTGGATTATTTATATGAAAATACAAATAAACTGCCAGCTCAAAAAAAAGAGTACACATAACGCATGTGTTTCAAATGTGATTTTGGCAGGTCAACAGCGCTGGTTGTTGTGGCTTTTACTGCTTCTGGAGATATGAAGGTTCTGTTAGAGGAGCTGGCTCTGGATCCCCCACCACCTCGTCAGTGGATAGGAAGTGAGGGATGGATAACTGATCCACTCTTGATACGTTTCAGTTTCTGTGCAGGAGCCATTGGAGTTGCCATTCAGAAATCTGTCATCCCAGGTCTGAGAGACTTCCTGCTGGATCTCTCTCCCAGTGATGTAGCTGCCTCCTCAGTGCTTACTGAGTTCTGGGAGGATGCATTTAACTGCACACTGACACAAAGTAAGAGTTGTTGTCTTTAACAAACATTGTTCTGATGTTGTTGTTTTTTAATTATTAAGGCAGCATTGTGCTTTAAAAATATGTTGTGCTGTTCTGTGATGAAACCTACAACTAACTTTTAAAAATCTAAAAAGACAGCATGAACAAAGGCTTCATTTCTTAAAATGTTGTCACAACAGTATGCACTGTGAATGAAATACATTAGTTTATTAATTCAAAATGTCAACCTTATGTGTTTACATTTGGGCTTGATGCACGTTAAAGTAAATAATTTGTATTATGTAACTATGGCAGATTAAGGAATTTGTTTCTGTTTTTAGGGGCTATGTCAAACAAAAGAGTGTGTGATGGAACTGAAGACATAACATTGCTAAAAAACCCGTACACTGACACATCCCAGTTAAGAGTTTCTAACATGGTGTACAAGGCTGTTTATGCAGTAGCTCATGCCATTCACAAAGCAGTGTGTGAGGAAACAAATGCTACCACTCAGTGTGACAAACACAAGGTCAATTTCAAACAGGTCTGTTTTTTATCTTATGAGATATAGCTATTTTGTTATTACTTTTTCGCTACTTGTTTTAAATGTTATTCCCAATTGAAATGCATCCCTTGGCAATAGCCACACATGCACGCACGCAAGCACGCACGCACACACACACACTCGCACACACACACACACACACACACACACATATATA